TATTCGGGATTGGACTCGATTTGAAGTAGATTTAAATTTGCTTTCAACGGCTAGACGAACACGATTTCATTTTAACGTTTGTGGTTAAAACTTAGTGACACATTTTTCAAGAAAAATAATTTTATAATATTTAAATTTTCTCGGTCGCTACAAGACATGTGTTGAGTGATTAGTCTAGTGAGCATGGTGGGCGATGATGTGAGATATGTGTTCTCGAGGTGTGAGCAACACAGAATGGGATAGAATAAGTGTGGTGAGATTTTTTCGTGGGGTCATTTATGTATTTGTTACATATGTGTTGACCGTGTGCTTAATTAACTTAGTGTTAATTTGTTGTTCGGTGTGATCGTATCTTTTTGAAAGATCTGTGTTATCCTATATGATACCTCCATCACACGATTATTTGCTCTTGATTGGTTACTGTGATTATCTACTTCTCCTTGGGTATTTGTTTGTGAGCTTAGCCCTGGTGAGACATGTAACCGATATAGTATGTGCTTCGGGTCCGAAACACGAGGTAAGGTTTGTGATACCAATTTTATTGGTTACCTTGATTATGCAGTATAAACAGTGTGTTTTGGTTACTTGCACGTTGATTGGGTATCAATGTGGAGATTTGTTGGATTTTTTGATACCTAATAAATCACAGACGATGATGTTAAACCGATGTTGGGAAAATTAATATCGACGCCTAAAATTGATGACCTGACCCGAAAACTAGTTGGGGTCATTTGAAGAGACCTAATTTTAGTTAAAGACGCTCATGGTCCATCCCATTCCTTTGGAAGGCTTGCGAGAATTGACCCACTACTCGGTATACTTGACCAATGTATTGGATTGGGCTTGGCTACTTTCATACCTAATGTTACCTATATATTGTTACCTTGGTCTTGATATTCAAGCATGTTTTGCCATTGTATCTTGAAGAAAACAACTTCCATTTTTCTTGCTTTGTGTGCACAGCTGCCTTTTCTTCTTGGCCTTTGTGGCTACAAAACACCTTCCCCCTTTTTGTGTCCTAAGTGGGTACAATCAAAAGCAACCGGAGTGTGGAATAGTTGAAGGTTTTGGGTCGAGTTTGTTTGGGTGATTGATAACGTTGAGATTTGGTATACTGAGCTCGTAAATACATCTTGTTGGCCATCTTTCCGCGACAGTAATGATGCATATTAGTATGATGTTGAGCATTATGTCTTGACGGTCCTTGAAATACGTAAACATCATCCATGTATGCGATAACAATTTGATGCTTCTCACAAAAAGAAGAAAGTTCACCAAGTAACAAGTCCTACATGAACCCGAAGTATGTATTTTTTCTTCCAATTAGAGAATCCCTCTGAAATACAAGATTAGCTTCTAGTTTGTTGTTCGCCAACATCAACTCTCATAAGATAGCAATACAAACAAAAAGCAGCATCTTATTTAATGCTATACTCTATTCAATTTCCAAACTCATCAAACCATTCTGTCTTAAAATCACGAGATGAATTTTCAAAATTAGTTTTTGGGAATTTGTGTCCACGAGGTTTGCATGAACCTCTCAATAAATAGGCTCTTCCGATTTCATCTCTATCATTAGGATGATAATCTGAAATCTTATTTCACAAGCCTAGATATGTTGGAAGACTTTCTAAATCGCCCTGGAGAAGACTTTCTAAATCAATTTCAATACTTCTATATTTAGAATGGTGTGGATCCTCACTTCCTTGAGTAATCAAACTTTTATTGCTTGTGTCTTGGTTTTTTGATAACAAACTTGTCCATTGATCCTTATCTAAAACAAAAAATGAAGCAACAAGCTAATACAAAAAAATAGTCAAAAATAAATACAAGTATTTCTAATAGTGGCAAAAGAACCAGGAATGGAAAATACTAAGAAAATTAAAATGAACATTGAAGCAGTGGAAGGTGAAAAGTTGGAATGTGGAAAAGTAACGGTACAAGTATGTACTAAAAAGTTTTATCATTGCCAAAATACTATGTTATTCTTTGATCCTAACTTCTTGTAGTACAAAATTTTAATTGTCGAGACAAAATTGCATAAACAAAATTTATTTAGTTTGTTGACCAAAATTTTGAACCTGACTGTGGTCTGTGGAGACAGCTAACCCCACTGTCCTCATAGTAGAACTACCCCTACTTATGCTTAAAACTTTATCCGATCCTCATAGTCATCTTTGATGAATAGGGATCTTTTCTGATGTTTCTTGAGATATAATCTTTACTCGTGCCAACAAAGATGTATTTTTGAGCCTAAACTTTAGTTCCCTTTTCTTACAGTTACGAAGAAAAATTGTTCAGTTAGCTAGGCTAATGGAAATAATTTCATGGAGAGAAGGAAAAGAGACATTATTGTTCCTTATTCTTTTGTACTATAATGTTACACAAGTGCCATGACAATCTTGGCTTTGCTTGAACTCTTTTGGTATATTCATTCGGTTATGAAATTTGTGTAGTATCTGTTGTCTTTGAATCTTGCCCGGCTAAAAATACTACCATTCAACATAGTTGCCTTTCATTGATATTTTGTCTATTAACGACTCAATATTCAGCTCGTCTAATAACGATTTAGTGTCTACTCTGAATATTAGTACAAATTATTTTGCAAGATTCTTTTTTTTTTTTTTGGTATTTTTGTATGTTATGAACAATTCGATGTTACAATGGGATTTTGAAGGTTGTCATGTACCCCCTTTCCACCTTGCTATGACACTATGATACACAAGTCATTTTCTGGGTGAAACATACTAAGACACGTAACTTTCACTTTCCCTCTATTACTCCACAAACAATGATGGATCTTTCATAACAAAATAGTGACAAATTATTATTACTAATTATGTTTCAAAATTAAAATTTGCATACTCGGTAGGTAGAGAGTTAGACGTTAAAACTTCCGTCATTAAATCTTGCTACTATATCCCAAACTTCCGTCGTTAAAGGTTGAACCCCAACCTTGAGGGCCCCACCGCCCCTAGAGTATCGTGGATGAGGTAAATTGCGGGATGTGTCTCAGTAGGTCAGGGTACAAGAGCTACTATACTGGTGCCCACAAAGAGTCAAATTTCAAACCTTGTAAGAGGCGGGAATCGAACCTTCACACTGTGGTTGCCAGCTCAACTGAGACTACCTCACTCTTCTCATTTGCACCGCGGAGCTATGCCCCGAAGGGCAAACTTCCATCATTAAATCTTGCTAAATGGCTGGACTAACTACGCATTACAAGGGCCATTTTTTCCCTTATAGCTTCCCATCAATGAGTGGTTATAATTTTTCTTTGTTTCTCTCTGTGACTAAATCCCTACTTGGGAGGGATTTAAATCCAAATTTTAATTTAAATCAAAGTTAACAATTAATTTTAATCACATATTTAATGAGATCCACACTTTTGCAACCACATATTTCATCAATTTTTATCAAAGTTTACTAAGAATTTTGTTTGGAAGGGATTAAAATTGAAAAATTAGCCGTTATTGTTGACTATTATTTGACGAGTGTAACCCAATAATGACTATATTTTCAATTTTTAATTGGATTAAAATCTCTTCTAAACAAGCTCTAAAACTCTAAATTTAATCCTACAAAACACGGGCTAAATATATGTCTTTGTTTACGGTTCTTCGTTACTTTTTTCCGAGTATTGATGAATAATCCACCATTAGAAGTTTTTTCTAGAATATATTTGCTGACTTGCATTGCATAACACAGCTATAAAATACTTATCCTCCACAATATTAAGAATATTATACCGACATTCTTTTGTATAAAAATGCCAAGTGAATAAATCGAGGGGTTTTCTCTCTCTCGATAGTTTCACAACCAGCTGTTCCTTGCTACACAACCTAGCAAAACCATTTTTAAACCCCACACCTTACATGTTTCTACTTACACTAAACCCAAGCTAAATTCCTAGTTTCTGCAGAGCAAAATTAGACAAGTAATTATGGAAGAAAACAAATCCGAGGTTCAAGAAAGTCTAGGTGGAATAAGTTACAAGGAAATGGAGGAAAATATGGGTACACCCGATGTTCACAGCGTGGGAGTGAAAATTGAGAGGGCTAGAGAGATTTACAAAGCATATGCTGGGGTTGAAGAAAAACCCGCAAAAAGTGAAGTTTTGGGATGGTATTTTTATGGACTTTGTTCCTACTTTGTTCACACAGTTCTAATTCCTATTGTGTTCCCTCTGATCATCAGCCAGACGGTGTCCGACCCACCGGAGCCGCCGCAAGGGTGGTCGAAGAATTACATGGGCTTGAAGTGCAAGCAGAACCAAACACGACTGTAAGTATTGATTAGTAACACTCTAAACTGCTTTGCAAAAACCTCAAGACTGTCTCTGCTCCGACCTCGAGTCTAAAAATAGTTTAATAAGGAGCCTTTAAAATTACTGAATTGTTTGAGAAGTTATTGTATAATTAAATTATCTTAATTCCTCATGTTTCTATGTAATCCTATGTTGGATAGAACTTTGGATTTTGGTTCGATGTCAGATGGAATTTGAGGAATTGAACCAAAATGCTTGCATGGAATTAGATTACTAGATATGACGGAGAGTAACATGAATATTTTTGACATTTTCTGTAATTTGGAAATAGAGAATCCTACGAGGTGAACAAGAATTTTTGGAGCGACTATATCTGGAAGATTAGACTTAAATAAATATACACGTCTTTGTCGATAACGATTACAATTTGACTTTTAGTAGATTGTCATCGTTGAAAAGTTGTGGAACCCATGAAACATGTGGTTAATATTAATTGTTTTCCTGATCGGGCCTAATATGAATGTAGCTTGCACGTGAGAGGATGTGATCATAGTCGAGCTTGTTAATTAAACCTTCATGCTTACCTGCAGGTATGAAGGCCTAATACACAGATCAATCAGTAACTCAAGTTTCTCCCCATTGGAGTGGACATCAATTTCTTGGGCTGGAGGACTCATATTTTCAGCACCAATTCTTGGAATCCTCTCAATCCTACTCGATTATGGCCATAACCAGCAACTCATAGCTGGTGTAGCAATCGCCGTTGGAGCCATCTTCTGCCTCCCTGCCGGATTTGTCCAAAAATCATGGATCTTTCCGCCGTATGTTGCTGCCATAGTTGTCGCCAACACAATCGGTGCAGCCGCCCACGCCCGCCACCTCGGTCTCATGATCCGGGGACACATTGGCTTGACCATCAGGAAAAGCCAATTCCCAGATAGAAAAACCTTTGCTAGTTGGCTCTCACTTTATTCCACCGCCTCCGGCTGCCTTGGAGCCGCCATTTTATCTTCGTTTATGTACTACATGCTCCGAAAATCCGATCATTTCACTGCCTTATGGGTGGTTTCCATTTTCAGTGGCCTAACATGGGGATTGGGGATGGCTCATATCTTCAGTACAAATAGATTCACATCAAGTTCAACCACTTCATCATCCTCAAATTCTATACCAAAAACCCATGTCATATCAATATTCAAGTACCCTCATGCCGCCGGAAGTCTTGTTGGAGTTTTTCTTTCATCTTTCACAACAATGTGCATTTTCGCTGCCGGTGTACTCTACGCAACAGGCTACCTTTGTGTAAAACCAGTAACTTTATTATATCTGTGGCTGACATATTTCATGTTCCCTTTGGTTTCTCTTCCATTGGCTCATCCATTGCAGCAGCTTATACAAGCAGACGCCGTGAAAATGCAGCTTCTAGGGTTTTCACTGTCGATACTTACTTCTGGATTTGGATTTTATTATAGACAAGACAATTGGCATAAACACCATTTGCTTGTTTTCACTGGAATCCATAGCACTGCCACAGGTTCGCCAACCCTCTCATTTAATAGCTTATATCATTTAAATATGAGTAATGCTACTTATCATTTAAATATGAGTTATGTTACTGGCAGTCGCTCACTACAGTTTTCAATATGTTTTTACGTTTCATTTTTGAATAAATCCTCATGTAGAGGATTTGTTTTCACAAGGGGCCAGACCTCACATGTATTAAAAAAAAAATTTGTGTGGATCCCACCATGTGTTGTATGTACAATATCTGTAAAAAAATTTCTGTACACCAAGGGGGTTCTTCATTTTTTATCAAATATATCACCGATGGCACATTTTTCATAAAGTCACTCTCTACGATACCATGTTAACTATTTCATTTAAAAATTAAAAGCTAACAACCTTATTATATACTTAGAAGTGGCTAGGAAAGACCTCTATTCAAGTAAAAAAAATAAAAAAATAAAAGAAAAACTAATTTACTTCATCCTGACACATGGAGCACAATGTAATATCTAACGAAATTGTACTTTATTTGTCCTAGCCATACTCCTCGTCATCATAAACCGAGTCTCCTTTGCTCCTAGTCACTTTTGACTCACTACAAGATAAAGATTTCAAAAATTAATTAATGTTTCCAAAACTAGGAAGTTCATAGCTTCGTCTCAATCCCATGAATGTATCCAAAAGCGTTAGACCTGTGGTTAGAGAAGGACTATATATATGTAATTACTTAAGCATCCATTTGGAAAATTTATAAATCATTTATAAAGATGAATGGTAAGTAATAGTTATGAATGTATTGTTAAAGTTAATATCTGAGTTTTGACTTTGTTTATAAACCATTTATAAATTGGTTGGCAAATGGAGGCTAAATGATGTCTTCAACAGGTTTGCTACATGCATTTGGAAGGGTTCTTTGGTTGGACTGTTCGCCCGCAGGGAAAGAAGGCGCATTTTCTGTGTGGTTTTCATGGGTGAGAGCGCTTGGGACCTGCGCTGGATTTGCACTGGCGACGGCGTTGCCGGGAAACATTGGAAAAGCATTTGGAACTGCATTTTGTGCCGGAATTGTTGGGATGGTAATTCTCATATTTGGGAATATTAGTAGCTTCGGAGGAGCCAAAGCTGCTGGCCATGTAATAAAAAGTGAGAAGGCTTCGCCAGTGCATGGATTGGATAATGGTGGCGCCGCCGATGTTGATGTGAAGGCTGCACCGGGGACGGTGGATGTTTGAGATGACTTTTATTTTCTTGAATGTTGCATGTAATAAGTTGAATTTATCTTATTATTATTATTATTATTATTATTATTATTTACGGAATTATATAATCTAAATGTAAATGACTTTTTCTAGTAAGTTATTTGAATTAAAAAAAGTAAAGATGTTGTGGCACACAAGAAGTAATTTAGAAATTAAGTTTTCCTCATTTTGAGTGTAAAAAAATGCTCTATATATATCATTGATGATCTTATAGTATATGTTATGCTTCTCCCAGCAAGGCTTCAAGCATAGCAACGTGGAAGCCACATAGTAAACGAACATTGACTCACACTCCACATTTTTTTTTGCACGTATGGCAATTTTGGTCAAACCCCCATGAAAAGACCTATCCTTTGTGCTGGGGCCGAACCCATATGAGAGTTGAGACCTTATAGATAAGGCGAGGCAGGTAGAGACATTGCAAATGATCTTTCATACAAAATCTTTCATTTATAATTGATGTAATAACACGTTGTAATAGTTACTATACCAAATCAACATATCAAGTCTAGCCCCCATGTGTGAGGCACTAAGGCTGCAAAAGGTCATAACATTAAATATGCATGAGCCTAGGATTGACCAATTGATGCCTATGACAAGGTATCTCAAATCTTTCATTTATAGTTGATGTAATAACACACTGTAATAGTTACTCTACCAAGTCAACATGTCAAGTCTTACCCCTATGTGTCAGGCAATAGGGCTGCAAAAGGTCATAACATTAAATATGCTACGATGAGGCCACGTGTCTCTTCATTCAACGATTCTTACTCATCCACTTTTACTAGAAAAGTTCATACATTGTGTCATTTAAAGGTAATGCAAGTTTGGAGTCTCAATCATAACTTTGCTCTCAGTACTCTTTACGTATCCCTGAATCCGAACCCTTTTTACTTAAGTGGCTACGTCTTAAGCAAGCCCCACCCCCAAATACTACTCTTACAAAAGTTGACTTGACCATCAGAGTATGCACAATCGCCTCCACCATTACTAAAGTTTGGCTATGTGCTTTAACTGTTTGTCCAAATGTGTAGGAAGAGCTACGTGGACGTGAGGAGAATCCGAAATATATTGCCCACATCACCTATACAAAAAACGAGGTCAACAGTGTGTTTATTAGTGAACTTTATGTGTTTCACAAATAAATTTTTTCTTTTTAATTATTTAGCGACTCGTGATAAGGGGTGGACATTTTTTCTCAGAAAAAGTGGAACCGAACCAGAACCAAATAAAATCGGTCTGTTCGACTCCGATTCCTATACTGAATGGGTCGATTCGGTACCATACATCGAGAACCAATTGTTTTCGGTCTAATTCTTGGTATTGCTTTAAGAACTAATCGTGAATTCGGTTCTCCTGAATTTCTCTTTTTGCTTGTACTAAGATATTTCATAAAACTTTTACAAATTCATACTTTTAATGCAACACAATAAGAAAGATGTATTTTTAATTCAATATTTTATAAAAATTCAAATTTCTCGTTGTTTTTAAAGTGGTTGACCTTCAAGAATCTTGATCCTTGAGAATTACTAAAGATAATCAGGTTATTGTTATATGAATTTTCTTAAAAAATAATTTTCGATCGAGATTTTACGGCTTATGTTGTATTTGATAGTTTATCATTTTTCGCTTTCATAAATTGATCTTAAGTTTTTGTTCGCGTGTGATTCTATGCCGCAAGTGTACGTGTCAGAACAAGTAGTAAAAGTGGACCTTTAGAGTCCAAGTCGATCCCTCAGAGAGTGTGGAATTCAATTTGAAGTTTTTCCGTCTCAATTTAACGAAAGTACACACACAGATTTAAAAATAATTTAAAATCCCTAAAAATTACAATTTAGTCTAAAAACTGATAAAACAACAGATAAAAAGTAAAAGGGTT